ACTCGCCCCGCCCCGCCCCGCCCCGCCCCGCCTCCCTCTCGGCCTCCTCCCGCTGTAGCCCGGCTGGCTCCGTTTGGCGTCGGCTCCCGGGTCTGGCCGCGGCTCAGGCGGCTCGGCGCGCTCTGCAAGCTTTAGCTCTCGCTCCCCCGTCCGACCGTTCGGGGGCCCTGCATCCTCGCCAGGGCGCCACCGCGCGTCCGCACTCCTTCGCTGCCCAGGGCCTGCCGGAAGGGCGCCCTGGAGGAACGCAGCGAGCTCAGGAATCTTTCTCAGTCTACATGTCGGGCACTCTCCCGTCTACCCCGACCCCTGTTAGCACTGGAGTTGCTACTACAGGACACAAAAAAGACCTGTTTGGTGCCCACCTCTTGAGAGTTCCACAGACAAACGAAGCTGGGAAAGGCAGGCGGGGAGCATCCCCTGCCGTGTCCCCCGCCAGCCCTACAATTCTCCAGAAACGCAGCTGGAAGTTACCCCCAGCAGTCTAGACTTTGGCTGCTAGGCAGAATGAAAAAGGCCGAAGCACCGAGAAGCAGAAAGGTAATGAATGATCAGTACCCACGCAGGGGAAGGTGACTGTCGGTTTAGTACCTTCATTGTATGGACAAACTGCTGGAGACCGCAGAGGATGAGGCTAACAACAGCCGTGGACACGCCAAGGGTTACTGGGAGACGACTGGGACCAGCTGTTTTCACATGCTTTTCTCACTCATTTCTCTCCCAAGCTTAGAGGTTGGAATAGTTCCCGTTTTCTAGATACGCGTACCAGGACATTAGATAGTTTGGCAAGATTACACACTTGTAGATAGCCTTGCTGAGATACAAACCCACAGTCTGCTTTCCGTGACAAACACTGTTTTCCCCAGTATTGAGTATGGCCTGCTCACTGCAGACAGAGCTCCGAATGTAAAGGTGTGGCTGTAAGATTCCTGCTTCTTTAGGCACATCCTGACTTTTATGTGCTAATCTTTTTTTTTTTAGCGTTATTTTACACCGGCAGAGGTGAATGATGGCCGGGTGAAAGGGTTACATATCAGTTCTTTATACTTTTCAATATGTATTCAGTGTTCAGTGCATGTAAGACAAAACAGCACCTGCTTCGCCCACCCAAGGGGACTTGAAAACATCCGCTGCCTTTCAGTGGGCTGGCTTAGTTCTGTGCCAATGAATAAACCTCTCCATAGCAATTAAAAACACGGAGATTCTTCTACTCCCACTTTCCCTGTCCTCTCACTTTGAAATACTGGAGATAATTTTCACAAAAGTCTTCTGCTGAAAGTTTTGACCTTTCTTTCTGTCACTGATGTTAAGTTTTTGGAAAAGTCTTGAAAAAAAAGTGGGAAAGATTTTAGTGTCTGTTTTACTCAGAATCACAGGTCCATAAAGTTCTAAGTTTTGCCCACAGAAAGAAGAATTTTTAAAAACTTAAAGGAGCTAAGTGCCAGCTAATTTTTTTTTCTATCTAAATATTTAATCATTTCTGGAAATAAAGCTGAGTTCAAAGATGATATAAGAAACATTTAAGAATGGATAGGGTCAGGGGTCCTTCAACCAGTTTGTAGATCCTAAAACCTTATATGGTAGATTGATTTTAAAAAATAACTTTCTGCGACTATTATATCCTCTTTAAAAGCTTCAGGAAATAGAAGTAGTTCCTTCCCATGAAAGGATTGGTGACTTGTGACCGAAAGACAAGATAAAAAGTAAAACGATTAATGCAATCAGCTTTTTTTTTTAATCAATAAAGAACTTAGATTTGCTCTTAATGCTGGCCTTGCAGAAAAGTTTTCATTTCAACCTTGAGTATTAGAGGGAAGAAATTTTAATGAGCTACTAATTCTTTTTTTTTTTTTTTTTTTTGTGGTACGCGGGCCTCTCACTGTTGTGGCCTCTCCCGTTGCAGAGCACAGGCTCCGGACGCGCAGGCCCAGCGGCCATGGCTCACGGGCCCAGCCGCTTCGTGGCATGTGGGATCTCCCAGACCGGGGCACGAACCCTTGTCCCCTGCATCGGCAGGTGGACTCTCAACCACTGCGCCACCAGGGAAGCCCTACAAATTCTTATGTAAGTCTCCTGTCGTGGCAGAACTCTTTCAGAAAGATCTTATTTGTAAGACAGAGAGAGTTTTGGTTAAACTCTAGGGAAAATGAATCAGCTGAGAAGGGTAATCTTTCAGTCTGGCTGACCTACACTTCCAAACATGATATGAGGAGGCGTGTTTCTTAAGATTGTTGGGCCGATGCAAACCACGTACATAAAAGCATAACAACTGGGTACAGGGGCAAAACTTACGAGATTTTGCAGTTTATGAAAAAGAAACATCCAAGAAAAATTTTCTGTAGAGCAGAATTCAATGTGCTGTTCCTTGGTTCCTGCCAAATACCTTTTTAAATTGACGTTTGTGGGAGGCAGCATTTTATGGTGATTAAAAATATTGACTCCAGCGCCAGATGGCATGGGTTCATTAGTGACTCTGCTCCTATTCAGGATCTTGGGCAACTTGGTCTTTCCTCCTCTGAAAAATGGGGATAATCGCTATAGACTGAATGTTTGTGCTCCCCCAAAATTCGTATGTTGAAACTTAATCCCCAGGTGGTGCCTTTGGGAGGTGATTAGGTCTTGAACAAGAAAACAGGTCCTCACCAGACTCAGAATCTACCAGCGCCTTGATCTTGGACTTCCCAGCCTCCAGCCCTGTGAAAAATAAATTTCTGTTGTTTATAAGCCCCCTAGTCTATGATATTCTGTTATAGCAGCCTAGATAGACTAAGATAACAATAATAGTTCTCATCTCATAGGGTTGGTATGAAAATGTAACCCTTTAATATATGTTAAGCATTTAGAATAGGGCCTGACACATAGGAAGGGCTATGGAAGCATTTGCTGTTATTATTAAAAGAAGTATTGGTTTTGAAGGGCAAATTTTTAAAAAGAAATGAAGAGGCAAATGGAGCTGTGAGGAAATGATTTGATTTTGGAAGAACAGTTACATCTGGCAAAGAGTAGAGAGCATCATTCCTCAAACAGGAAACCCAGGTGTCTGCTCGCATTTAGGGACCTGAGTCCCTAAATCTAGAGTCTGTGGGGTTATTCTGCACTCATTTCACAGTAAGCCAGCCCTGCTACCCAGCGGATCCAGGCAGTGGCCATGATGACCCTTCATATGCTGATCTAATGATGCTGATAAGCCTGGGAGTGAATCAGGCATATGATACTATAGGACTCCTATGAGGGACATTTCATGACTTCCTAACTGTGAAACTTCTGTTTATACATACATATCTCATTAATTCTCTGCATTATCAGCTTTGCAAGATAAAAAACATTACATGTTGGTTTTCCTCGTATCGGAATGTCCTGGGTCACATAATATGCTAGTGGTCAAGTGTGATATCGAAGTTCACAGCCCCGGTGGGTTTCTAGGTCTCTAAGCCCTTTTCCTTTTCAAGAGGTGGTCCTCTTGGCTTGGAATGCCTTTCTTCCTTTCTCTTCTGTGAAATCCTGTCTCCTGCAAAGAGCTGACCACTCCTTTCCCTGTGTCACCATCGTACCTGGCAATACCCCCAACCCTTTTAATTGTGAGAGTTGCTCTATGATTTATTATCTGTTTTTATGTTGGCCTTCCCACAATTAACCATGGCCACTAAAAGTGTATTTTATTCACCTTTGTTTCTCCAGCTCTTGTTACCATGCCTGGCACATGGAAAGTGCTCATTTAATGTTGAACTGAATAATCAATAGGCTGAGTCATCCTCACACTCTGTATTCTTTAGCAGGACACTGCATCTCTGATTTTTAAATGATTAATGTTCATCAGGTCTAGACATTTTCAAGGTTCTAATTCCATACAACAATGGTTACTATTAGATTGGCCCCCAATTCTTTTCATTCATCTGAAAATTTAAATTTTATTTATTAAAATCAAGTTCTGCAATGTTGTCACTGAACTAGAAATGTACCTCTAGACCATCAGTTACAACACATTAAAACTGTTAGCACTGGGGGCTTCCCTGGTGGCGCAGTGCTTGAGAGTCCGCCTGCCGATGCAGGAGACGCGGGTTCGTGCCCCGTTTCGGGAAGATCCCACATGCCGCGGAGCGGCTGGGCCCGTGAGCCATGGCCACTGAGCCTACGCGTCCGGAGCCTGTGCTCCGCAAATGGGAGAGGCCACAACAGTGAGAGGCCCGCATAACGCAAGAAAAAAAAAAAAAAAAAAAAAAAACTGTTAGCATATTGGGGCTTCCCTGGTGGCACAGTGGTTGAGAATCTGCCTGCTAATGCAGGGAACACGGGTTCGAGCCCTGGTCTGGGAAGATCCCACATGCCACGGGGCAACTGGGCCCGTAAGCCACAACTACTGAGCCTGCGCGTCTGGAGCCTGTGCTCCGCAACAAGAGAGGCCGCGAGAGTGAGAGGCCCGCGCACCGCGATGAAGAGTGGCCCCCGCTTGCCACAACTAGAGAAAGCCCTCGC